TGTGACGCCAAAAAGTCGAGGGTTCGATTCCCGGTGTCAATTTTTATTTTTCGCAAGTTTAAGTTAGACCTTTTTAGTTTTTATTCAGTATTATTATTATTTTATTATTATTGTTATTACTATTAATTTTTATTATTATTATTGTTATAATTCAACATTTTTAAAGTACAAAAAAAATTTTTTCAGCTGTTTTTCATTACAAAATTATTATTATGCGTAAAAAATCATTTTTTTAAAGTCATTAATATTTTTCAGGGAAATTTTTTTACATTCTGGTTTTTTTTTGTTGAAGGGGGGAGGAAACGTTTTATAAAAATGAATGTCAAATTCGTTGTATTAGTTGGGAACAATTTAAACGTAAAGTATGGTCGATAAAGTCGTGACTATATATACACAAAAGAGAAGAGCAGCCTCCGCGCACAAACCACCACGTACCTACACTATATACGAGAACAACGACCACAAAAGGTGTGTCGCGCTCGTGTTAGAGAAAATTCACCTTAACTTAAGAATTACGACTTAAGACCAGACACATTAGGAGGTAACCTGTCGTCTTTGTATATATGTTTACATATATATATATATATATATATATATATACTCACAATTGTTCAAGATGTACGATTTAATAATAGGGTTAAGGGCGTGGTTTCAAATCTCAAAAACATTTAAGAAAGATCGTAATATTTACCGACAAAATTTCTCGAAAATTTTAAGTAATATTTTGCAAATTTTTCTCCAATTTGCTTAATTTAGATCTAAGGTAAATGCCACAATTATTTATTTTCGAATTGGAGGGAAAAAAATATTTTTTCTAGATAGAAATCTACATTACCGACTGTCGGTAAAGTAGAGATTTTTTTTGTTTTATGAATTAAAAAAATTTTTTTAATAAAATAGAAAATTTTTTGTTAATTTTAATTAAAAGCAATAATAATAATAAAATTGTAATTGCAAAAAAATATTTTCTATAGGTATTAAATGAAAAATTAAAAAGAAAAATAACTACAAAAAAAATATAGGTAAATTTTTAAGGAAAAAAATATTTTTCCCATATAAAAGATTTTTTATATTTTTTTTTTTGTTTTGTTTTATGTTCTAAAAATAGGAAAAAATTCATTAAATCGATCCTTCATTTTTTTTCTGTCTCTCTTTCTCTCACGTGTGGAATATTCATTTGCAACGTGAAACATTCATTTTTGTTTGATTATTGAAACTTCCGTCTCTTGTGGTTTTCACAGATATATAGTGAAATTTTATTGGAAATTGTTCAAAAGTTGCATTTTATTTATAGTAAAAATAAAAAATAAAAAAAGAGAGATTCTAAATAAAAAAAAAAAAAAAAAAAAAAACTTATTTCGTATGTAATTTTTCTTTTTATTTTCAATTTTATTTTTGTCCTTTCTTTTATTTTCAAAGAAGAAATTGGACACAATTCGATGTCTGTGTTCATAGTGAAACGAGAGGCGAACAACTCGTCTAAATTTTTATGTGACACCAACCAATTTGCATATGTACTTGGAATTCAGAGAGAGAGAGAGAGAGAGAGAGAGAGAAAGAGAGAGAGAGAGAGAGATTTTAATGACCAGAAAGCTGCAGTTCTTTTTTAATTGGACCAAGATTGCTCAAATCAAGTAACGGACATTTAAAATAAATGAAACATTAACATTCTGAACAATTACAAAAAAATTTGATTTTCTTTTGTTAAAGCCAATCAAATTTTATTTAACAATTGTTTTATTAATTTTTTTCTTTCATCAATTTTCTTCTTTTTTTTTATTACCTAATAATTTTTTTTCAAATTTATTAAATTAAATTTGTTTAAAAATATTCACAATTTATCAAAATAAAAATGTTTAAAATTTTTCTAAAAACTAAAATTTTTTAAAATTAAAATTGTTTGAAATTATTCAAAATTTTTTAAAATTAAATTTGTTTAAAATTTTTTTAAACTAAAAATTCTAAAAACTAGAATTTTTAAAAATTAAAATTACTTAAAATTATTCAAAAATTTATAAAATTAAAATTGTTAAAAAATTTTCTAAACTAAAATTGTTTAAAATTAAAATTGTTTAAAATTATTCAAAATTTTTTTAAATTAAAATTGTTTTAAAATTTTTCTCAACTACAATAGTTTAAAATTATTCATTTTTTAAATTATTAAGAAAATTTGTAAATTAAAATTGTTTAAAATTAATAAAAAAAAAAATTTTAATTAAAATACTGTTTAAAATTATTCAAAATTTTCTAAAATTAAAATAGTTTTAAATTTATTTTATTAAAAAGTTTTTTTTTACCTTTACATGTGTGTTTAAAAATTTTTTTTTATTTCATTTATTTCCATTATTTATCATCGAAAACTTTTTTAATTCAAATATAATCGAGAAAATTATTTTTTCTATTATTTTCAGAAACTAAAACCTACTTAAAACTTTCAAGAAGATTTTTTATTTAATTTTGAAAGCAAAAATTAAAAATTTATATGAAAATTAATATTTTCGTCTAAATTTTTTTTTTTTTATTTTTTCTTACCCAAATGCAAAATATAAAAAGGAGAGAGGCGAAAAATAAAATAAATGAAAAAGAAAAATTTTAATTTGAATTTTCCCTTGGGAGTCAATTTTATTTTTAGACAAAAAGAAAAATAGTATCTGCGAGGAAAAAGTTGAATTATTCCAGATGTTATTTGAAATTTACGGAATGAAAAAACTTTTTGATTCGAGTAATCAAAACTTTTGCCATAGGTCCTTGCCTTATTTATCATTAGTTTGAATTTATAATATTTATAAGAAAAAAAAATATACATTTTTTTGCTAAAAGAATTTTGTTTTTTTTTATATTTGTTTCCTTGTTCATAAAATTTTCAATTTTTCTCGATTATGATAAATTATTTTTCTATTTTATTTCTTTTTATTTCATTTATTATTTAATAGTTTAATAATTTTTTTTTGGTATTTCTTTTTATTATTTGTAATTTCTCAAAACATTAAGAGCAAATATTATAAATATCTATATCTAAAATTAATTTTAAAATAATTTTTTTTATTTAAATAATAATTTTCCAAACAAAGGAATAAATAAAAAAATAATTAATATTATCAAAGATTGTTTAAAAAAAATATTTATATTAAAAAAAAAAATAGAATAAAAGCAAAATATTAAATTGCATCGTGCATTTTTCCTTTGATTTTTCTATATAAAACGTTTTTTAAACTAAAAATTTAATTAAGTACTTGGAATTCATATCGTGTTTATAATGCTGAAGAAAAATTAGATTTTTTATATTAAAAAGAAAAACAACAAAAAAAAATTTTATTCTTTGTTTCATTATAAAAATATAAATATGTATAATTAAATTAAATTAAGTAATATAATATAAATATGTATAATTGCGATTTTTTTTTTAAAGTTAATTTAAAAATTGACTTAGCAAAAAAATTAATTAAAAAAATAACTCTTTGGCTACGATAAATTATTTTTTAAATTGTTATTGGATCAAAATTTAATAATAGAAAAATAATATTTATTTTCAAATTCAATCAATTCGTATCATGGGGATAAAAATAAAAATGTATTATTTTAACATTTAAATAGGATTTTTTTCCCTTTAATTATTTATATTAATTTAATGGAATTTAATTAATTGTTAAACAAAACAAATTGTTATTTAATCAAAATATTGTAATTTTTGATCAGTATTGTCTTTTTGAATCATATAATTTATTTTGATCAATAAATTATTGTTACTGATTTAAACAATTGTTATTAATTTAAACAATTTTTATTTTTTAACAATTTTTTTTTATTTTTACTTATTTATATATTTTTTATTAATTTAAACAATTTTCAATTATTTAAACAATCTTTAATTATTAAAATAATTGTTAAGTATTGTTATTATTACATTGTTATTAATTTAAACAATTTTTTAATTATTTAAACAATTGTTATTTATTTAAGCAATTGTTATTAAGTCAAAAATTTGTTACCGTTTTAAAATTTTTTTCTTCAGTCAAACAATAAAATTGTTTTGTATTTAAATAGTTATTATTAAATTAAACAATTTTTGCTCCATTTTGGATTAAAGTTATTATTTTTTTTATTTAACTAATTTTTATTGAATTAAATAATAATTATTTTTGATTTCAATAATTGTTATTTAATCAAATAATTGTAATTGATTCATATAATTATTATTAATTTAAACAAATATTATTAAATCTAAACAATTTTGTTATTTTATTTAAACAATTGTTTATTTATTTAATCATTATTTTATTTTATTCAAAAACAATTGTTATTTTATTTAAACAATTGTTATTGATTTAAACAATTGTTATTGATTTAAACAATTGTCATTGGTTCATACAATTTTTTTGTTTTATTTAATTTATTTGTTATTTTATTTAATCAATTGTTGTCAAATTTAAAGATTCTTCTTTTATCTAAAATTAATTTTTAATTCAATAACAATTTTATTGGAATTAAACAATTGTTTAATTCAAATAAAAAAATTGTTTTCGATTCAAACGGCTCTAAACAATTTTTTTCCTAATCAATTATTATTTATTTATTTATTATTATATTATTAAAATAAATAATAAATAAATTAATAAATAAATAAATTAATTAATTAAAAAATTGTTTCTTTCATCTAATAAAGTAATTTTTTTTCTTTTCATTCAAGAAAATGACAAAAAAATACGAAATATTTGGGTAAAAAAAATATATATATATTTATAAACGTTTGCTAAAATTTTGCAAAACACTTTTGAAAAATTTCAACTAATTCTTAAAATTTTGCACAAAAATTACATTAAAAAAATTTAATAATTCAAAATTGGGAAAAATTATTTCTCACTTTTTTTTAAGGGGAGTGGAAAATTTTCTCAAACTGAAAATTCTGCATGCGGACAAATAAGAAGAATTGGAATCAAAACAGAAAACAGAAATGAAGAGAGAGAGAGAGGGAGAGAGTGTAATGTTGACAAAATGCGTACCAGCTTCAAGTTTTGCCGGCGAACCGTCGGTGCTTTTTTGCTGCATTTTCGGTGTTGTTTCGCTCATATTTTTTTTTTATTTTTCACTTCCGGTTCCGTGCAAAAAAAAAATCACCCTTAATTTTTTTTTTTTAATTTAAAAAAATTTTTTTTTCAATTCCTTTTTTCTTTTCTTTTCTTTTTCACTGGGAAAAAAAAAGATTTTTTTCTCAAATTTTTAATAGATGCAGCATCACCGCATATTTTTTTCACTATTTTCTCAATAAGAGGCACTTTTTTTTCAAATCTTCCAATATATATATATATATATATATATAACAAATATCTTAATTCCCCGTGGAAAATCTCACGATTTTCCGATACCGATCCTCGGATCGGATATCACCCGGCGCAGCATCCACGGCTGTACCACTTTATTTATATTAAACTAATTTATAACTTTAGATTAACACTCATAACAAAAAACAAAAAAGAAAACACTCACGAGAACATTAATTTTAAAACACTCTTTTTTTTCAAAAAAAAAAAAAAAAAATTATTTTTATCTCATCTTAAGAATATTCACTTTTTTAATAAAGTAGCACCAGGAGAAAATATATTTTGTTAAAAAAAATTTACTGTGAGGTTATATTTTTTATTTCGAGAAAAATAACAATAAACACAATTTTTTTTTTTTGACAATGTTTTGGGAGGGGGAGGGTATGAGGGGGAAATGGTAAAAATTTTCCGGTACTTGAGTATAACAACAAAACTAGAGTAAAAGAGAGAGAGTGAGTGAGTGAGTGAAAGACACACACGATTTTACTATAATACGAAATATATTTTTCCTGCAGGTTTCCCTCGGTCGTCCCGCGACCCGTGACGTCCCGGGCGTAGTGAGCTGCCCGCCCGCTTTTCCACCCTTATCCCGCGCCTGCGCCCCATTTTCCAAGTAACGTGAGTGAGAGAGGAAATCAGGGAGAGAGAGAGAGAGAGAGAGAGAGAATGAGAGAGATTTTCTCTCTTTTGCGCTTCCCCGTCGTCTACCATCATCATCATCATCTCCACATACAGCATCATCCCTCCCACCCCTTCTTTTTAGAAGTCGAGAACACCACCCAAATCACATACACACATGTATAATTCCAAATGTCTTAGAAAAAAAAAGAAAATTATACATTTTTTTTCACACGCAGAGATTTATAAGGGAGAAAAAAAAATTTTTTCCTCAGCCAATTATACTTCATATCTTCAGTTATATATAGATTTAAATAGAAAAAAAAAATTTTTTAAATAAATATTTTATATTTATATATTATATAATTTATATATTAATAACAATAAATAAAAGTAATTATAGGTAATAATAATAATAATTATTATAATTATAACAATAATATATAGTAACAGAAAAATAAAAACATTCAAAACTACATTTAAGAAAAGTTGCAATATTTCCCTACAGATTTTCTCAAAAGTAATAAGTAGTATTTTCCAATTTTTTCTACCCATCTGCTTAATTTAGTTCTAAAGTAAGTGCCACAACTATTTATTTTCGAAATAGAGGGAAAAAAAAATTTTCATAAAGAAATCTACATTACCGACTGATGGCAAGGTAGAGTTTTTTTTTGTTTTATCGATTAAAAAAAGATTTTTTTTATTAAAAAATATTTTTTTTCTTCAATTATTGCCTCGCATCAGAGTCTCACAGTATTTAAGCTTGTGCGCAACCCATGCTTTTTTCTCTATAAAAGATTTTAAAGTCATCATAACTCCTATGATTGAATGGTCATATATTTTCTTATATCAGCATTTCGTTGTAAGAGTAATGTGCCGACCCGCAGTAAGCAAAATAATAATAATAATAATAATAATAAAAAAAAGAACAGCATTTAAAAATACTTTTTCTCAAAAAAGTATTAAGAAATATTTTCAAAATTTTGTCCAATTTGTTTAATTTAGATTTAAGATAAGTGCCCAAAACTATTTATTTTTGAAATAGAGGGAAAATAATATTTTTTTTTGATATAGAAATTTACATTACTGACTGACGGTAAAGTAGAGATTTTTTTATTTTATTGATTAATAAAAAAAATTTGTTTAAATTTTTTTTCAATTAATGACAATAATAATATTAATAATAATAATAATAATAATAATAATAATAATAATAATAATAATAATAATAATAATATAGAGTAACAGAAAAATAAAAACATTTAAAATCACATTTAAAAAAAGTTGCAATATTTCCATTCCTACAGATTTTCTCAAAAGTAATAAGTAGTATTTTCCAAATTTTTCTACCCATTTGTTTAATTTAGATCTAATGTAAGTGCCACAACTATTTATTTTCGAAATAGAGGGAAAAAATATTTTTTTCAGATAGAAATCTACATTACCGACTGACGGTAAAGTAGAGATTTTTTTTTGTTTTATTGATTAATAAAAAAAAATTTGTTAAAATTTTTTTTCAATTAATGGCAATAATAATATAAATAATAATAATAATAATAACTAAATAAATATAAATAATAAATAGTATTAAAAAAAGTAAAAGAAAATTTAAGAAAAGTTGTAATATTTCACTACAAAGTTTCTCAAAAGTAATAAGCAATATTTTCTAAATTTTTGTCCCATTTGCTTAATTTAGATTCAAGGTAAGTGCCACAAGTATTTATTTTCGAATTGGAGGGAAAAAAAATATTTTTTTCTGATAGAAAACAACATTACCGACTGTTGGCAAAGTAGAAATTTCTTTTTGTTTTATCGATTAATAAATTGTTGTTAATTGTTTTTAACTAAAAGCAATAATATTAACAAAGATAATAAAAATAATAATAATATAATAATAATAACAATAATAATAATAATTATAATAATAATAATAATAATAATAATAAAAATAAGAATATAAATAATAATAGTAATAAATAAATATTAAAAATAAAAAATTATTATATAATAAAAGAAAAAATAAATACATTTTTTTTCTCTTTCTTCTTCTTCATCTTCTTCTTCATCTCGCGAAAAAGAAGTAAAGCTTGAGTGAGAACAAATGTACCGGAACTCAAGCGATCTTCAACGAGATCGTCTTCAGCGGCATTGTTCTCCTTTTCTCTCTCTCTCTCTCTTTCTCTCCCTATCTTTATCTCTCTTTCTCTCACTCCCTTTTGGAGATGAAGCGGATTCTAATTGCCCCTGACCCAGTTTAACATCAGGGACGTCACTAGCCTGGTATCGGGGATACGTGACATGGTGCCACAATTTTTACCACCGACAATTTTCCAATGTAATTGTTGGGAATGATAGTTTTTTTTATTTTATTTTGTTCAAGGAAGATGAGAAGGAGAAGAAGAAGAAAAGGATAATTGGATGATAGAAATTGGTTTAAATTGATATATAAGAAAATTTTGTCAATGATATTAGGAACAAATAAATGTTACGGTGATTTTACTGGATTTACTGTTGAGGGGAAGTTTTTTTTTTTTTTTCTTTTATTGGAAATTATTTTTATTGTTAGTTTTTATTTCAAATTTGGATTTACACCCAGAGAAATTATATATTTGTCACAGAGTCAAAAAAATATTTATTTGATTAAAATAAATTTTTATTCAATTGAAATACATTTTTATTTGATTGAAATAAATTTTATATTTGATTTAAATAAATTTTTATTTAATTGAAATGAATTTTTTATTTGATTTAAATAAATTTTTTATTTGATTGAAATAAATTTTTTATCTGATTGAAATAAATTTTTTTTCTGATTTAAATAAATTTTTATCTAATTTAAATAAAAAATTTTATTTACGCCAAATAAATAGGCCAGTAGTCTGTGATACAAATATATATACGCTTATTTAACTCAAATATATTATATTTGATTCAAATAAACCATTTCTCTGGGTGTAAATTGAAATTTATTGTAATTAATTTAGAATGAAATTAAAAAAATTTTGAAAAAAAATTAAAATTTTTTTTTTTAAATTAAATAAATTTTTTTACAGCAAAATTATTTTTAATTCTAAAAAAGAAAAAATTTTATAAACGAACAATTGTTCAACTCAATGGAAATAAATTAGAGAAATTTTGTTCTTTCTCTTTAAAATTTCAATAAATATTAAATTAAAATAGTTGTTGCTTTTTAATTTTTGTTTTATTTTTTTTCTTTTTAATTTTTATTTAAATTTCTCACATAAACATATCGGATTTTGTAATTTTAATTAAAACGAGGAAGCACACTAATTTATACATATAAACTTCGTTACTAATTCAGTCGTTCAACTGACTTGCTTCGCAGTAATTATTTTCTGAAAATTATTAATATTGCTCATGGAGTCACTAATATATATATACCTATATATATATATATATAACTTGATAAAATCCCCCAGTCAATCTTCAATTTAACACGTTGAACTCGTCTTCAAATGAGTTGCAATAAATATGAGACAGGAAAACAAATAAAATTTTAATGAAAAACTCAATTACCGTCAATTAGTCTAAAACGAGAAAAAGAGATTGAATTATATTCACACCGCGAGTTTTTTTTTTTTTTTTATCTTTTCTTAAATGTACTTTCAATAATTTTACAAAAATAATAAATAAACTCAATAAAAAGAAAAAATAGTATTAATTTCCAAAAGGAAAAAGAATTTTAATTTTTTTTTTAAATTTAATTAATTTTCCACTTTTAATAATCGATTAATAAAAATTGCATTTTTTTCATACGAAATCACAGTTTTTCATTAACTAAGTTATAGTTTTTTTTTTATCAAAAAAAGGAAAAAAAAATTATTTTAATCAAGTCAATTAAATCGATAATTCATGAGCAATTTATCCTAACAATTTTTAATACTTTAATGTCATTAAGAGCTTCTATAATTGATCCGATTAGTTCTTTCTACTTTCAGATAATTTATGTTTAAAAATAAAAAAAAAATGTCTCAATTTACTGGAAATATGTTTTATTTAAAAAAGAATTTTTTTTTATAGGTGTATAAAAATAAAATAGTCATTTATTTATATACCTATATATTTTTTTATTTGTAAAAAAAAATAAATCACAAAAAAGTTCTCGAAAAAAAAGTAATAAAAAAAATATATAGAAAATAGTAAAAAAAAAAATTTAATCGCAATAAAAAAATAAATCGGAAAAAGAAAATAATAAACAATAATAATAGTAAATAATATAAATAATAATAATAACAATAATAATAATAATAACTAATAATAATAGATAACTATAATAATAAAAATAAAAAAAACCAAAAAAGTGAGGTTATGTTTTGTTTTAGTTTAAATACTCTTTTAGTTTAGACGTTGAAATTAATTCTATTTTTTGAGACTTCATGTTTGTTTTTCTTCAATGAGCTTAATTTCTTTAAATGATAAGAAATTATTAAATTACGATTTAGTTTTCTAATGCCACATTTTTTTGAAACTAGTCGACAGACGTCATTTATATAATTCTACACATTTTTTAACTGACGTGAGGACTTCACTTTCAAAAAAGTGAGGTTATGTTAACTAAAAGTTTCATTATATTAATTTTTTGAAATGAAAAGAAAAGTCTGTCAGTTAAAGAATAAATATTTGGAAAATAAATAATAGTATAATTAAAAATTCTTAATTTTATTTAAATATTTTTATTTAACTTTTCTTTTTATTTTTATAAAAGTTTTTTTTACTTTTTATTAACATTTTTTTTTAAATTTTTATTTAAAATTTTTTTCTCAAATTTTTATTTTCTCTTTCAACACATTCAGAATTTTAATTCACAATGTTTATATATAAATATATAGAAAGAGACTACAATTTATTTTATTTCTTTCTCTTTTTCCTCTTTTTTTTCACCGACCAAAAACAAAAAAAAAAAAAAAAAGTTGTAAAATTTCTTTTTCCTCAG